TTTGTTTTTCAGACTTAAAAACCACGAACCGTCCGGAGATAATAACCCAAGTTGACTCTAAGTCCCCGTTTCTTAGGTTTGAGTGCCCGACGAGTTAATTGTACGTGCAACTAATTTGCTCTCAGTGAATTACACAGATGTTGACCAGTTTTAACTTCAGGTTCCCTTCTGAACAGTTTCGAAAATACGGTTCACTAAGGCTTTGTCCTGTTTATAGTAATCGTGAATAAGTTTTGTTGTCCCCCCTGATGGGCGCAAGAACTTTTCGTCCTGTGCATTGAAATTAACGCATTTCGTGTTGGGTTGTACTTCTTCCCATCTGTCTCACCAGGAACGTGCAGCAGCACTCCACCACTAGAAATATATGTAACCACACGTGGGAGAATGCATTGTTCACCACGCAAGACTGCCGTACCGAACCATCCCACCAGACGCGTCGTCGCGGAGATAGCCATAAACTTTGGAATTTGCGAAATAAAAAGTCCGAAGACAAATAGTCTGAGCGAAAACACATTTAGTGTAGATAATCCCCGTCTATTTGCAACAAGTTACACCGAAGAACGTTGGTTGTGTGCACTGGTATCAGCGCCAACTAAGGGGCTTACAAATGGCGTTGACAGACATCAACTGTCAATTCATTAGGTAGAGTGATGAATCGTGCAGGTGTGTAGCCTAGCTAACTTTGGTAACTCAGTTAGTAAAACACCCATCCGATAAGTTGACCACAACGTTTCCCCATGTTATTTGGGCTTGTACTCACATGTCAGGTAACACTTCTGCACCGAGCAGGTGCCAAATTACTGGGCGTGATAACAGTGGACAGCAGTACAACAACCTGCATTAACCAGACAGACAGTGATTAATTTGTCTGTCGGGGTTTTTTGCAAAGTTATATCGCCAGCTTTTTTGAATGAAATGCACTCTCGATTGCCACGTTAAATCTCTTATGGGAGTTATATCCAATAATGTAGCGTTGAATGAAAACATGGAAGCACGTAACGTCAAATTAAATTTAAAGTCCTGACCAAACTCAGCTGCTGCCGAGTCTATATGCTGCCGTGACAATGAATACCCGTTAATCCAAATCCCAACCGTAACTTTTATCAAGAGTGGCCTCAATACAAGGTCACCAGCAGAGAAAACACAAGCTTTCTCACAACTGATGAAAAACTGCCCTTTAGGTAACTCTGCCTAGGCTGTTACCGAAAGCTTAGTAGTTGACCTATGCACTGATTTAACGGAGTAGGGGCAACAGGATTTTACGCCCATATCTCACTTTCCAATGCTCATGGTTAGGAACATTTGGGTTATGGGTGCAGCATCATGCTTGAATGTCAGGTCAATTTATGTCGCACATTTCAAACGAAAGATCAAGTGTCGTGATGACACAAAAAAACTCCAAAAACTGGCACCACCTTCACAAACTTTTATATGCATATTTGGATACCTTTTCCATAGCTGTTGAAATCCTGAAGGACGAGACCGTCCGTTTTGTCGAGAGCTACTACACTCGGTGGTGGGACAAAAATTCTACTATCTGAACCAACTTGGAGTAAATTCGCATTTGTAACTGGTCACGTTTTGAAGCCCTGTTGTTGTGGTTGTTTGATGACTTTGATTTACTGAATACATTTCATATATACGTCCATTTCGTTATTCACATCTATACAGTACAACCCCTCAATAAGAAAAAAAACCATACTTCTGGATAATACATGGCCTTATCGTCCATATTTCTCTGAAAATCGGCAACCATAAATCGGCTCAACGGAGCATTGAATTGCGAAGTAGTGGTATTTCTCGAGAAATACACTCATTTGCAAATCAATTTGGTTTTTTCCGTTTGAGGTGTTCTACAACTGAATGTGCTGCACACAGGCCGCCTCATGTTTCAGTTGGCGCGATATTCGAGATATCGCAAATGAGTGTATTTCTCTAAAACAGTGCAATTTCGGTTCAAGTAGAACATAAGGTTGACGGAAACTCGGGGACTGCATCTACCTGATGAGCCCCAAGAAGGGCGAAACCGGTCGTAGGCTGTCGAAGAGTTTTTAGCAACCTTGTGAGTAGTTTCTTTCATGAATATAGCGATGTTTCTCTTGCGGAATTTCGTGTGCTTGAAGGTGAGTGGAAGCAGACTGCTAATTCTGCTGAGGTATCATTATATTTTGGCAATGTACTCTGAAAACTGAGCTTCTGACGAACACAACTCACGCTTTATACTAATCCGATATGTCTAGGATATTCTCCGTTCCTTAGAATAAAATGATTTTTCGTAACTGATCATCAGCTCAGTCGAAATAAGAAGCCCGCGTTTGGGTGTGCACGTGTTTTTTTGCACACCGTAAATAGCACGCATAGCCTCGCTGAGGTTGACGTAATTTGTATGCGCGGAAAACCGTACTGCCAACTTTGGGCGTAAATGACACACCCTCCTGAGATTTTGAAGGCATCTTTATCAGGGTATCGTGTCAGGCGAGTTGACGTCATCGACGCTTTGTTAGTATACGTGCGTGTTTCAGATGAGTCGGGTCCTCAAACCTCTTCATATGAAAGTTCGCGGGCACCTGCGATTTTCTAAATGATTTGAATCGATGAAATTCATTCTGTGCTCTACTGCATCTCCTCAACAGATTTTGGGTTCAAATACTTTAAAGAAAGGGCACTAATAGAGTTCGCCTCAACAGTGATGAGAGACAGTAATCACGTTGTATTTCCCTGTTGT